TAGTAAGGAGTCACAGGGCACAGACCAGCAGAATAACTTAGTGACAAAGCCTTTCACTAATTCCCACCATTCCTCCAAAATCCTGTCCTATACCTTTATTAATACAGGAGGAAAAACATGCAATATTATTGGGATTTGGTAATACAGGTTTCCCCTTCTCTCCGAAAGTAGAGCGTTCCTATGAAATCTTTCGTAAGCCAAAATGGTGTAAAGCAGGGGTGTCAAACTGCAGTCCTGGGGGAGCTGAATCTTTTGTGGTGGAACAGAAGAAGAACTAAGCTACACAGGGCTCTGCCCCCCCCCAGGACTGCAGTGAAGAAGCGATTACCATTAATGTATATGGGGGAAAAATTTTCAGCGTTCTCAGACCGAAAAAATATAACCCACCAAATCATACCAAATAGCACATTAAACTTAAAATAACACTAGCATGTAGTAAAAGCAGGAATTATATAAATACACAGCCTATATAAAGTAGAAATTATGTATGTATTTTCACTTCAGTACGTCATGCGTTGCTTGGGATACATTCTGAGAAATGCCTCATTGGGCAATTTCGCCATTGTGCGAACATCGTAGAGTGTACTTACACAAACTGAGGTCGTATAGCCCACTACACACCTAGGCTGTATGGTATAATCTAAATACCAATAGTACAGTACGGTATTACAGTATGGCAAATACATAAATCAGTAAGATTCTTTATTGTCATTATGAAATATATTATATACATAACTGGGACAACCGTCGTAGATGCTGTCCCTCGTTGACCGAAACATCGTCATGCAGCGCACGCTGAAAATGCTATTTTCTCTTTTCTCCTTTTTTCATAAAAATCCTCTTTGGATTTTTTTTTCGGTGAGTGAAAAAGAGGCGCAAAATGTGGGGTCTTTCATGAAAGCCAAGTGGCAGAGGACACCCGTCAATGGAAAGGATGAACTGTTGATAATTAGCTGGATAGGAAGGGGAAAAGTCTACATTCAAAACTCAAACACTCAAGCATTTTTGTTTTTTTTTGAAGAGTTTTGTTACTTATCAACTGGTTACCGTATCACCAGCTGTGAATGTACCTGCAAACAAATACGAGTCTAGCACATCTCTCGCTGACATTAGACCTTCTCAAGGAACAAGCAAACTATGTGCTATTTCTCTGTGTCCACATCATGCCATCAATATTCCTTAAGCATGTCTGCTTAGTTACCGTCACAAGGCCTTGTTAAAGTGGTAATATAATAAGAGTATAGAGTGTAATAACCGTAACCCCTAACCCAGCCCTAACCTAACCTTAACCATAAGTAACCAAACAAATTATGAGACTTTTGGCACTTTTAGTTTTTTGATTGCATTCACAGATCTTTGCTTAACAGGTTTTTATCAATGATCCAGGTTTGGATCATTTGGTCCCCACAATGTAATGTTAACATAATCCACACGCAGACACACACACACACACACACACCCGCACACACACACACACACACACAAATTAATCCAGTTTACTTCATATTTTAAGGAGTGCATTCTTATACTGCATTTTAGATGCCTGCATGAGTGTTGAAAGAAGGTAGAGATGGTGATCATTCAGACTCTTGGTCTGAAGATGTAGAACAGTTGAGCAGGAAAGCGATTAATTTGACTGTGAGGCACCATGTGGTTTGGGAGGATGAGGTTGAGTCAGCGGGGAGGCACACGGACAGGGAGGAACAAGAATGAAACCGAGAGAAGAAGAGATCAAGTGAAGTCAGGTCATGGTGGGGAACCCTGCTTTGTGTGTTGGGCACAAGGGATTGAAAGATGTTAGTAGATGCATAGAATTGCCAGTATGATTGAATGTTTGTCTGAATTGTGTGCTGCTCTGCTTCTACACTAACACCAGTGGTGTTCCTTGGTATTAAAGAATTGGATTATTTGAATCATTGGATATTGACATTTGGTCCAAGGGAGCAAGTTGCCTTTCCTTTCCTGACCTTTTTCATGAAGACAAATCATCGCAAGTATTTTCACGAATATGTTATTAATGTATTTTTTTCTACAAAAAATATGTGCCCTCCATCTTGAGTCTGTGAACCAGAAAAGTTCTTGTGGTCCAAAATGGGGTTATAGGATGGGATGGTGAGTTGGGTCACCTGACTTCTCCCGTCCGGGATGCTGGGGAGTACAACTTGGACCTGATGCCTCTGTGACAGAGAGTGTAGGGAATGTAAACACCAGGCAGGAATTCCCTCGGAAATTCAGGTTCATCCGGAAAACTCGCTGCTAGCTTAGAAGGCGTGTCCAAAAACAAGCGAAGGGCCCAGGCGTTACACATTGGCTGTCGGCGGAGGAAAACTGGTGTTCCGAAAATCCGACGACGATGCCAAAGGATGCCCCTGTCGCCGAACCTGTTCGACACCATCCCCGGTCAATGTGTCATGGAGGGGGAACTAGGAGCAAGTTACTGTTCGAAGTTTCTCCCTTGAGTTTCCCCAAAGGGACTGTGAGGTAGTGTTATGCAGGTGCCAAACCTTTGTCAATCCTACAATACTGTCATAGTAGCAGACCTTACAGACAGCTGATATGGGTTTGGCTATGATTTCTGTACTATACTAATCCTTTGTTTGCTAACTTGTATTCTAGAGCTCGGTTTATGTGTGACTTTGTATCAAGTTATATAAGTACATCACCGTACAACATAAAGTATGAGTGAAAATGTACAAAATTGCAGAAATTATAATAATAGCTGCTATAACAAATTATATAATTTTTATAACTATATACCATTTTATAATGATAAAAATGGTAAAAATGTCAAGATCTGTGAAAACATCCCAGTGTGCGTAATGTTACGTATGCGTAATTTATTTTTTTTTCGTGCAGACGGTAGCTGCGTTCTTGCTGTGAGTAAACGGTAAAGATGCAGTATTTTTGCATAAATATTTTCGGCCCGTTTCCACGGTGAGTACTCTCAGGTACAACGTTCTTACCGTGCCGCTGTTAGACCAACCAGGGAAAAGGAAGGAATCGACGGTCTCCTTTCTTACTGTTTTAGAACCAGGAAGTAATGTAAAAAAAAAAATGGAGAGGGAGATTTAACGGCTGGGAGTGGTAAACAGATGGACAGCCGTGTCTCGCGGAAATCAGCCGAATTAGGGCAAGGCTCTGCGCCAACATCATGGCCCCCGAGGGCAGGACCGTTTTACGCGTCACTCTGGGAAATGGAAGCCTGTTTTTTTAAATCGCAAAACGTGTTCAGTTAGTAAGGGCTGCTTGCTGTGTCCCAACTGCATGTGCTGTGATCCCCAAGGGATTTGTCACACTTTGAAGGTGTTCGAAGTGACTCAGCTGGAAAGACACTTACAGAAACACTGGCCCCTCTCCACAAGTCTGGGGTGGCGTCTTTCTGGCTGCCTGAAGCCGCCCAGTCATAGAGTCAATGAGACAATATGCGAATATGGGATATATATACAGTCTGAGTAACAGGGTCATTCAGCAGGTTGCAATTTTTTTTTGTTCTCAAGCTTGTGAAAGCTGTTGCACCCACTCTGACAAGTGATGGAACAGCACACGGACAAGGAACCGTAGAGAGAGGACTATTCCGGGTTGCCGTACGTGGCCTCCAATCGTACCGCGGTTTTACCAGAACGTTGACGTTCATTTGCAGCACGCTCGTCGCGTAGCACTTTCGTCCGAGGGTAGCAGAATTGCCAAGATAGCAGTGACGTCGGCATCATAGACGAATTGCGCAGATGATACTTGCACAACAAAATAAAGACATTGTGAGCTGTGTTAGACAAAAATGGCAGATCGTTAAAGGCTGGACTGAAAAGGCGGAAATGGAGAGATATTTCTCAAGCTGAATTTGAACCCCCATACCCTTTTAATTAAACTATCAGAGCATCGACTGTGGAACAATCTTTAATGTTCACTTGTAATATCTGTGTTGCCTGAGGTTCAATCACCACTGATCAATTTGTTAATTCAATTAAAGAGTGCTTTGTGCTAGGGGTGGTCATTTTTATTATAGTGTCAGTCCAAACTAGACACTGTGCGTATGTGTGTTCCAAGTCAATCTGGCTTTAATCCCCCTACATTTCACTACAGAGCTCACAGCGATGTAAGTGATGCCCTGCTTGTTATTTAGGCCTTAACGAAGAAAAAAACACATTACTATGCACCTCTTACTGTCCCAAGGTCTTCTTTTCTTTTCAAAAATTAACAGAAGTGGTGAAATTGACAAATTGATGTTATGATGTAACAGCACTGTGCAGGGTCCCTGGGAAGGACCTCTTTTACTTATGTTTACATATAGCTGTGACACTGTGCTGCCTAAATGGATGCCTGCACAGAAAGCAATTCTTCCTGAGGTGCCTTCCTCACTGCCTGCGCAAAAATGGTAGTTCTTCCTGAGGTATCCTCCTCGCTGGCTGTCAACACACAGCATTGCTGCAGGGGCAGGCTAAAGCACCTTCTTTTGCTGCCTCAAGTGTCGACTATTTTAAAATTAGACACACTGGCTTCAGCAGGGGGCCTCAAACTCAAATTACCTGGGGGCCACTGGCTAGGAGCTCTTCTCCCAAGGGGGCCTCTTGAGCTATTTTTTATGAGCTGAAAAAGAAATGAGAGAGAGAAAAAAACAGTGTACTGTCTATAACACCATATAGTCAATGAGAAAACCAAATCTGTGCGGATCACTTAAATGAAACATTGCAAAATGAAGAACAAAAGATTGACCTGTGGGTCACATTTAATGAAGACATAAAAAATATATAGTGGGCTAAATAAAACCAGAAGCAGCGCCGCGGGCCAGTACTTAGAGACATCTAGGCTATATACTCTCAGAGATCACGACACGTCGTTTGCTCTGCTGCATGTGGATGCGTTGAATGTTTGCTTGTGCTTGCTCCAGCTTCGCGTGTGTTTACTTTGCTGTCGTCTAGACGACGGGCGTGGGGCAATCGTGCAGCTTCATTTGGGATGCGACCCTAAGTCCCCTTTCCACTCCATCTGTCTCCCCCTTCCAGGTCATTTTAAGTGCGTCTAAAGATGTCCGATAGTGTCGATATTGAAGAGAAACCGCCTGCCCCCCCGTTGAGAATGAACAGCAACAACAGAGATTTTTCCACGGCGAATCACGGCTCCAAACCGCTCCCGATGGCTCCTGAAGAGAAAAACAAGCGGGTCCGACTGCGATCCATCTTTCCTGGGGGAGATAAAAGTAAGCAAAGAGCCCCTTCTCCTAACTCACCCCCCCCCCCATTGGCTTCAAAGTTCAAGGTTTTATATACAAAACGTCAACTAAACCTTCTTCTACAGTCCAACACTGTGTGACTAAATGTTCACAAATACTCTTTGACAGTTAGGCCGAATCTGCGGTTAATGGTTGGGATGAGAGAGCTGAGAATCTGAGAGGCCTTGGGGGTTTGGGGTGAGATGACCTTGTAATGTCAACCACTGACTGGCTTAACCCAACAGGAACCAATAAACTGGCAATGACAAATGGGTAAAACTAGTCACTGATTGATAGCACCCACCAGTGTTGGACATTTCAGGTCCAGAAACTACAAATCCAGACCAAAATTTTGATTCTATCAACCAGTTGAATACTCTGTGACTGTGACTCTTTATGTTGAATTGGCTGGTAGAAACAAAATCCTGGTCTGGATTTGTAGTTTCTGGACCTGAAATGTCCAACACCGGCATTCCCCATGGATTTGGTAGTGCCGTTTCTTCCAAGACTTGTTGACTTGCTCTCACGGTTGTTGATTGAGCTGGTTGATCGCTGCCATGCTGTACGTGTTAGTGGTGTGGTTGGCGCCAACCTTCTGTTCTCTCTTTGACAGCCAATAAGAAGAAAGAAAAGGAACGTCCTGAAATATCTCTACCCTCTGATTTTGAGCACACAATACATGTCGGCTTTGACGCCGTGACGGGGGAGTTCACCGTAAGTAAACACACCTGGGCCACAACATGAAAATCCACCCACCTCCATTGGAATTATGACACCGACAGACATTCCTGTCCCGCATAGAAATGGGAACAATGTCGTCATGGAAACCACCTTGATGATGACCTGTGGGGTGGCTGGGGCCCATTGTCATTTCTTTGTGCATATTGTATGTTTCCATTTGTTTCTTTTTAAGGGAGGCTATTGTGCTTCTCTGTGTCATATCTGCTTGTGTTGGTTTTATCGTCAAAACTCATCAGTCATCCTTGACATAGTTGTGTTGATTTGGAGGAGTCTTTGAACAGTTTTCGCCTCACGTGAAGAACTTTTATGTAGAGCCTATTTGTATGAAATATGTCTGTCTAAGTTATGCATAATTTCTGTTTAATATGGTATTTCAACTGGCACGCATTGCAAACCGATGTGAAAAAAAACGCATCACTAAAATGTGTTCGTCCAGGAACTATTCTGCTTATATCTTCTATAGGTATTTAAAGGAAAGGTCTATTGATACAAAATGTCTGACAGGAATAAAATGTAACCATTAATGTACAGAGGTGGATTTGTCAGGTCCAGAAAGTAAAAATTCAGGACCAAGATTTTGTTTCAACCAACCAGTTGAGTACGCTGTGCCTATGACTCTTTATGCTCTGTTGGTTGGTTTAAACAAAATCCTGGACTGGATTTTTCGTTATCTGGGCCTGGACTATCCACCTCTGTTAATATATGAGGGTAATATACCCTATAAAATTTTAAGCCACCAATAAATATAGCTGGATGACTGAAGGGCTAGATGTACTGGTGTCCCCTTAGCGATCATTTTATTACATACTTATAGCTGATGGGCCCCCTTATGGTTCAGTGAGGCCCAAAAGGAGATTTCAGTGAATCAGAACGAGGCTCATCTGTTGCATTCTGTAGCACACTGATCAAATTACAGTCTGATTACTGACAGTGGCCTCCTTACCAAAGAAGAGAAATGAACAGAGGAGATTAAACGTGAGATGTTTGAGCTTGTCTTTCATTTTGCTACAGAGGCAAGGCGGTGCCTTCTAGATGGGACAGGATCATTGTAAATCAGTCATGGAAATTCGAAGAAGACTGTAGTGGGGCCTGTTGTACATATCCGCTCATGGTATTAAACAAAGAGCCATCTGCACGTCTAGGCTTTGACACACGAGGTTAGAAGTTCAAATCCCAGGAGGAGCCCTCACTGCTGTTCCCATTAATCACGATACTTAACGTCTTCGGTGAAAATATCCAGCACTGTGTAAATGGAATTTAAAATGCTGAACTGTGTTAGTCATTCGTTCTCAAATCAAGGTAGCATTTAGTTGGAGCTTGTGTAAGGCAGCCTGTGGTGTAAGGCAGCCTATGGTGTAAGGCAGCCTATGGTGTGAGACAGCCTATGGTGTAAGGTAGCCTATGGTGTAAGGCAGCCTAAGGTGTAAGGCAGCCTATGGTGTAAGGCAGCCTATAGTGTAAGGCAGCCTATGGTGTGAGACAGTGTTTCTCAAACCATTTTTGCTCCCTCCCAGCTCCCAGCACATCTGTGCCAGGTATTTGGTGTTCTTGATTGGCTGGGAGCTGGGAGGGAGCAAAAACTTGGAATGTCTGGAGGTCCCTGAGGACCAGGTTGAGGGACACTGGTGTAAGACAAACAGGACATTCAGATACCCTTAGAAAGAGAAGCTATTGGTCAGTCAGAGTCACAAGGTCATCTGAGCGGCATGGATGTGCACCACAGAGAATAGAACATGCAAACTGGTCTTACTGAAGGCTTCACTTGTCCAGCTGGGGGGGGGGAGGGCACAGCATAGCAGTTAATCTCTGGGTTGCGCTTCTTCTAGTTGACGTCCGACTCTTCTCTCTGGCCCGCCCCCTTAGGGTATCCCCGAGCAATGGGCGCGGCTCCTCCAGACCTCCAACATCACCAAGCTGGAGCAGAAGAAGAATCCGCAGGCCGTGCTGGACGTGCTCAAGTTCTACGACTCCAAAGAAACAGTCAACAACCAGAAGTACATGAGCTTCACGTCCGGAGGTGCGGGAACAAAACAGACATCATTCCTCTGTGCCGCGAACAGTCACCAGTCATTCATTGCAATACAGCTTATTTATAATATAACGTCCTTGAGCAGTCCTTGTTTCTAAGCCGTCTAAAGGCATTTTTCATGACCTATTTCACTTTGGAAAAACAACGCCATGTCGGCACTCACCCTATAAACAGATAGGAAGCTGAAAACACCACATCCTCTGACAAATTAGACTCTGTTTCACTTCACTTTGCAGACAAATCAGCACATGGTTACCTGGCGACCAACACACTGGTAAGTCATCGTTTCCACAGATACTTGTGTTTAAAGGGTGTGTATTTTCACAATTAAAGGGATTTGATTTTGAGGATTACTGATGTACATTACGGACTTACTGATGTACATTATGGACTTATTTTACTAGTTGTACCCTAGCAGCAGGATGAAGGGGGCCTGAAGGTGTCAGTGGGTGGGATCGCCGAGCACCGTCTCCCAGTAGGAGGCGGGTAAAACCAGCTATTGATGGATGGGATGAAAATTGTGCTGTCCCCTCGCAGTAAAAATAGACATGCGTCTCCATAGGGATTCCTCGGCATGTAGTATTGTACTATAAGGCTTTGTGTGCTTGTTCTTGCATAAATATGCACATATATATGTGCGTATGTCTGTGTGTGGTTATTCAGATCTATTAAATTTACCCGGTCCGAAATGTAAATTCGGCTTCTGTTCAGTTATAAAAACACTACAGACTCAACTAGCTGATTAAAGACCTAGTCTTAATTTTTTTTTGTTATTGTTTTACCTACAGACAGTCTACAAAAAGTCCCATATGGGGAAGTGAGGATCTTATTTTTGATTTAAATATATATTTGCATATATTCAAAGTGGAAATACGGCTGGGTATATTTTTGTATGAAAGCAGAGTATAATTATCTAGTCTACGGGAAGCTGAGAAGAAAATGGGACTGTGAATTTTTTTTTTTTAATCTTTCAAAATGTTCTAAAGAATCGCATAGCATCAAGTTGTTTTATTGCTGGTTATATAAAAACCAAAAGCCTATTTAATCTATGTGTAAAAACCTAAGTCAGCATCAGTCATTTCTGCTACCTGTCGTCTGTGATTTATTTGGCACCATTTACAGTATGTCATTTCCTGTAATGCAAGGTTGGAAAATTCTGTCCTCAAGGGTCTCCATGGACACTTCAGTCATTTAAGCCAATCATTAGTTAGATGAGAAGTCACCCTACCTGCTGATCCAATCAATTCCTAATTAAAATGTTGCATAAAAAAACTGGCAGCCCAGTTGACCAATGAGGACAGGAGTTCCGCCCCTTTTTTTTTTGCAGAGCCCACCAGAGTTTATTGGGCTCTCTGTAATGCTGATAGCTGTTCAGGTAAGTCAAGCATTGAAGTAAATATCAAAAGACTACCTGTGAGTTACACTCTTTCTGTCCAGCATTACGGGGAACATTTTAGCGAAAACAATATGTATCTTTGAACTGAGACGTTGACTATAATTAAGTTAACATGACTAGCTGCCCCAACCAGCCCCCAAAAACCTGCTCCCAGTGTCAATATGAGATAAATGACACTGGCCCACATCAAACCGCAGAGTGGAAAAACGCAGAGGCCCTAAGTCAGTTAGCAATGCTAACACTGTTAGCGATGCCCCTATTGAACTTGTATATCAGGTCATAGCCCAAAGCCGGTTCTTTCATTGTCATATTCTGCTACCTTTTGTGAGGCACAGTTAAGGCACTTATGGTGACTTTACTGAGGAGGCTCTTTGCACCAGGCTCTACTGAGTCTGGAGCGAGCAGCGTGAACTTGGGAGAGCCCGCTGGTTCCCCTGTTGCGATGGCGACAGAGCCGAATCCCGACTTCTCCTTCACGAAACTCACCTCACGAGTATGTTTCAGGAGCGCGGTTGCCAGCTTCTTTGTCTTCCCCACTTCCCCACGTACCTACAAGCTCCGAACATCTGAATAATTAAATGAAATTAAATCTGTATATATTGTATATATTATATGTATATATTCGATCAGAATCTGAATCTGATCTGCTTTCTGAAAAATGTACGCCGCTTTGGAAAAAAGCGTCTTCTATATACATCAAAAAATGATGTAAATCTTATCAAGATCAGATGTGACTCCGGAGTCAAAGTAGCCTCCATTGTCCACTGTCGCTAAACTGGCAGAGGACTGGAAGCTGGTCTTTACCACGCTATTAAGTCGCTGTGTTTTGTAAACAAGTGCTGTGAGAGATCTCAATGCCGGGAGCCTGGGCACATACATGAGGAACGGCAGCAGGACGCACGACCTTCAGATCAAACAGGAAGAGTCGCACTTTGCAGGGAAAATGATTTAGTTACCTTCTAGTTTGTCTGTGGATGAACAAGAGTCAAAATATTTAGCCGCTGGTGGGCTGTGTTGCTGGTAATGGAGCAGGATGTGTTTTCTGGTGGGAGACGGGAACGTCGACAGTGGTCGACATTAAAACCGTCTGTGCTGGCGAGCCGATGGCGAAGTCGCCACAAATGTGTGTCCCGTTGCGATCGCAAACAAAGCAATAAATCAGCTAAATGAGACTGACTCATCAAACCGTTCTTTCAGGCCACGCTGCGCTTAACGGACTGCTTAACTGATTATTACATGCGCAACTAATATAAACCAGCATGTTTCTTGGAGCCGTTTTCCCAGAAAAAGCTCCATACAGATCTCTGTGGAACAACAAACTCATCCAAAAGGGTATGATGGCCTGAAACTGTGAGGAAAATCGCCTTAGCATTTATAGGAACATATTAGGCTTGATTGACGGGAATGCAGAATTATTCTGTAATGGTGAAAAATCTCTTTTTCAGAGATCAGGTATGCAAATACAAGCGTCAGACAAGCCTTGATGTCCTTGGGGCGGGAGGGTGGAGCTTATGAGCATTTCTGCCCCCGTGGTTCATTTTGCTTGTATGTGTTGCTTTCGGTCTGTGTTGAGTAAATCCTGCCATTTTCGACCTTCACATTCAGAACCGACTCCTGTCCTCCGGGCCTCCGGTCAGCCTTAGAACCTGCAGCGCTTTATTTGACAAGGTAATACCACACACACTTTGTGCATCTATATATGGACAAATTCAGTAAAGGTAGCGCCGTCAAATTCCGGAATGTTTGCTCCAGATATTCCAATGCTGCAATGATGGTGTTTAAAAAAAGGATGATTATTTGATGTGCTTCTCTGCAGAAGGGCAAATGACAGCTCTGAGGTAGGGGTATTTAATGACTGCGGTTCCAAAGTGAAAAGAGTCATCTTTGATCATCTTACAATGAACATTTCTCTGAACCCAGGAGAAAATAAATGATCCACAAGGTATTAAGTGAGATAATAGAGGTTTATAAATCTGCATGAAAAATACCCTCATTCCTTACAGGAGATAATGTGAAAATATATTTTTTTAATATGTAGCTCCAGGTGAATGCATGTGAGTTTATTTTATTATGTTACAGATTCTACTGTAGTTCACAGAATTACGGTAAATTTGACCTGGAGGCAGAGCTTCTGCAATGGGGGCTTCAGTGTAGCACGAAGATTGTTTTCTTACTCTTGTCTTGCCGATGGTCCAATTGGAAAGCCATCCTGTGAGCCCTGGCAGCTGATTGGTTCCTTCTCTCCACACGCCCCTCCTTCGCCGCCGAACTCGAAGAACGTGACGTTGACATTTATCAGCTCCGCTGGGCTCAGCAGAGGTCCACTTTGCTGTCTGTCTTGAAGCTAAAACTCAGAAATAAAGATCAATCAAGTGCTTTATTCCCCTGTAAGACACTCCCTCCCTATAAGACACTCAAATCCCCTGAACCACATTGTTCAGGACGGATTGTGCGGTTGTATACTGCGGGGGTGTTGGGTTGGGATCACTGAGGAAACATTAACTTATATGTCCTCAGACTGCCTGATTCTCGGGGTTGGAGTCTGGCTGCAGTTCCAGTGGTCTCTGAATGCCAGCCGGGCAGTTAAACTCAAAGCGACGTCCAGTTAAACCAGCTCAGCGACTGTTTGGAAAATAAGATGAGAAGACGGGCTCTCTGTGGAGTGGGGTGGAGGAAGCTCATACGTGTAGCTGATGCGTGAGGAGCAGCAGGTTTGCGCGGCGTTCTGCCGGCAGCCGCATCTAGACGTGCGTATTCCAGGGGGCTGCGCTGCACACGAGACGGAAGTAATGCAAATCTGCAGCCGAGTCGTGCAAACGCAGCCCGTGCATGAGCAGATCACGTCATCATCAGACAAATGGAGATCACGGTCTCTGTGGACCTTAACGACAGAAGATATTCTTCTGATAATTAGAGGGCAATTCTCATTCACAAAATAGCTCAATGACGGATAATTCCCTGCGAATCATCCATCGCTCCCATAGCACCTTCAACAATTAAATGATCTTATGAAAGATCGAAAAATAACATTCAATAATTGTCCTACAAGCAGGATCTCAGATGAATGTTGAATGAGTTTGATTAAAATGGCCACAAAAAAAAAAATTGACAGGAACTATCAGTGGCGTGATAGTTGCCCTGTATTGCCAACTGTGTTCAGCTCGAATCTCCTCTCCTGCAACAACAATCTGGGGCGTACCTAGAAACTCCTTGACACCCCCCATCTAATTTGACCTATTCCGTTATGTATTCAAGGGCCCCTGTCAAATTCTGGGGCCCGTTATGTATTCAAGGGCCCCTGTCAAGTTCTGGGGCCCGTAAATCTGCCAGGGCGTCCCTGCCCCTCTCACACCCCATAATCACAAACAGGAGCGTCTCAGGTATTTCCGCACAGTGCGGCTAGTGACCTACTTGTAATCCAATTCGATTACAGATTCGACCAGGGATGCATTAGCTTTTTCGTTTTAAATGCTCTCACGGCGTCGACCCCCGTCGGGCTCGAGGACAGACCTAGAGTGACTGACGTGTCAGAATTAAGCTAATGATGGTGAGGAAGAGGAGAGACGGGCGTTTGTGTTAGAGAGTCTAAGTGACACTATTTTTCACCTTGAGTCTATTGATTGGGTGTCCCTGCAGGCCCTGTTTAAAGCCTGAATTATATATAGAGGAACAACTAGAAGAAAGGGCTTGAGTTTCTGTTGCCTGGGCTCGCCCACTAGATCATATATACTGCCAGGGATGTCACAGAATATGCTTAGAAACGTTAGACACTCCTCTGCTTTACCTTTATCCAGAGGTCAACACGACAGCTTCCGTGGTGTCATGTGAGTGATGCGGATTCAAGCTTCTGTGCTGGGTTGGTCCTCGCCATTGTCTCCTGGCTGCTGTTGTGTTGGTTTGTTTTTCTTGCGCTCTGGAAATTGTCCCCCGGTTGACGTCAGATGTCCCTTTAACGGGGGTCCTGTTGGCAAGGGTGACGTTTAACTCCGGCAGAGCTGTATTCGGAAAAGATCGTTGTTAATCCTCGTGGTCCCTCCCGTGGTTTCCCACTACGCTGCTGGGATGTATTAGATAAACATGTTTTGACAGAGAAACTAGGCATCGGTGACACCGGTGATGGTTATTGTTTAGCTACAATGGGACAGGCTAAGACTGAGTGCCCTCGAAGAAAACGTTACACTCGGTATGTTACAGAAACCATAGACTTTGTTAGAAGCAGTTTACAGATCAGGTACATAATTCTGCCCAGTTGTTGTGATGTTTTTCTGTTTCTGAGCTTAAGCCGGAGTCCTGTCTCTCATGTCATGTTACAAATCTATATTTGATTGGTGGAGCCCTGTCACATGGGATGAAAATGGCTGATGAATTGATTCGGCTTTGCGAGGGTTGGGATTAAAGGTGAACATTTGTGACCCGCAGGGTACGAAGACAGCGTCAGAGCCCCCATTAGCACCACCTGTGTCGGAGGAGGAGGATGAAGAGGAAGAGGAGGACGAGGAAGAGGATGACAATGAACTTCCGCCGGTCATTGCTCCTCGGCCGGAGCACACCAAATCGGTATGGGGTGCTTTCATCCAGCCGGTCCTCTCGCTTTCAGCTAGCTGGTCCACACTCACCCAGTAACCATCACATTTGTGCAGGAAATGCACAGCGTACAACATTAAGAGCAGTTAAAAAGAGGTCCAAAGGCAGTGATTTAAGAGGGTCTTCTCTGCCTTCAATTTTTATCGGTCAGCACCAGTAACAAGGCCAAGTACGTGGTTGGAAAGATCCCCTAAAATTCACACGAGGCACGTGAAGAACTTGAGGAGGAATGTTCCGGGAAATGAACCTAATCTTCTTTCTGACTTCTGCCTCAGGAAGTGGTCTTTTCAGGACATCGCGTGTCCAAATGGGCTTGTGCGGCTCACAGCTAAGGTTACACGTCTTTATGAAGGGTAGCAAGCAGGATCTTCTTTCACTCATACCTGCAGTCTTTGGATTATCCAGCCCCTAACCGTCTAGATCGGGGTTATTCAACTCACGGTCCTCGAGGTCCGAGCAGTGCTGGTTTTCCAGCCTTCCTTTACCTGTCAGTCAGGTGTGAAGCCTCTGACCAATCAGAATCAGTAATTATTAAACTAACTACCTGGGAGAACTGAAAACACGGCCTGGATTTGGAATCGAGGTCCAGAGTTGAAGAGCCCTGGTCTAGATCACTGGGGTTTGACCCTACAAACCGCCGTGTCCCCTGTCCCAGATCTACACGCGATCCGTCATAGAGCCGGCGGCGCCAGCGGCCCCCGTGAAGGAGGTCACCACCCCCCCGGAGACACAGGGCCCGGAGAACACCTCCACCAGCCTGTACCGGAATACCGACCGGCAGAGGAAGAAGTCCAAGATGACAGATGAGGAGATTCTGGAGCGGCTGAGTATGTCCCCTCCCCATCCCCCGCATCCCATGATGCTCTGAGGCCCTGTCAATATTTAACGTGGACATCACATTTTAAATTGCAGTATCGATATTTAAACTGGACATCAAAACATACATTCCTGTGTGAAAGCTACAGACTTACCTCACTTTGACTCGTCCTTCAGGACCAACATACATTAAATTAGAATCGCTGAGACACGCAGGCAGGCTGCTCATCCTGTAATGATTTACTATTAATGCGATCGGCTCGTTTGACCATTCTACAGTAGAATTCACACCTTGGCGTTTCGAGACCCGCTGCCTGGGATTTATTAACTGGGTCTGGGTCCCGAGCCAAACTTTCAGGGGATTGCTCATGGGGACGTCTTGGGGTCAGTAAGATAAGTGACTAGCTAATCTAATTAGGTGGCAGAAGCGGGTCTTTATAATGAATCTGTAGTGGTGTGTGGTGACATCATGCCAGATCATCATGTGTGATTCTGTGCTACCCAACACCCTGCACCCTATCCTACATAGTGAATCTGGGTGGGTTTTTGGTTCAATTGCACTTGTTCTAATGCCCAGCTGGTGCTTTGCTGCTGCTTGGCATCGCTGAACATTCTCCGCTGGCAATGACTGGCCTCACCTTGGCGGGATTCTGCAGCAGAAATATAAAGCACTAACTCCCAGAATGCCGCGGGCTATAGAGGGCCGCCGGCTGCTGGTTGGCGTGAGCCATGATCAGTGGGCTCGTGCGCAGCGGGGGTGCCGCGGGGGTCTCACGGGGGGAGGGCACTGGCTCTTCTCCCTCCTCATTGGCATGCGGCGGCCTCCACCCAACCCGACAGACCGTCTCCCCGCTCTCTTCCAGGAAGCATCGTGAGCGTGGGCGACCCAAAAAAGAAGTACACGCGCTTCGAGAAAATAGGACAAGGGTAAGTCGCCGTCCCCTCCGAACATCCAGCCGGTGCCTCGTTTCGGGACGGGGCCAGTGTAAGGCAGCAAAAAAATGGGATCACAAAGAGAGCAAGAGAAAGAGAAGGAACAGGGAGGATAAAGATACAGAGACAAAACTTACCCAAGGGATAAATCAGACTGCCCTTTATGTTTAAGCCAGAGCTGGTTTGAGTGCTGCTCTCATGGCAATATTGCCTTTCAGCTCTGATGTATCGGGCCTTCATGGAACCTGTCGTGGTGTGCTTTTGAGCTCTCAGTCCCAGAATCCTCCTTGTTTGCTAAGGGAGACTAACATAAACAGTGTTTATTCCTTTAAAACTGGCCCATCATTCTCCGCAGTGGAGGTTCTAGACCATTTCAACTGGGGCCATTTGTTCTGTTAAGGGGGGGGGGGGGGCAGATGCATTTCACCTTAATGTCCTCCAAGTATTACTTACACTAGATTGCCAGAATTAAGAAGCAAAAGACAATTTCGAAAACCACTAAGATATTTATGCAATGCTTTGCAGTCACATTTTACAATTTTTACAAATACGTAACTCACTCGGAGTTCTTGTTTAGATTGTCTTGCTTCCACAAGCTTGATTATTCCTTTCCGTCGTTAACTCGCTTCCCCGCGTCAAGAAAATGTGCTTTGTGTTTCGCCTGTTCCCAGCGCACAACATTTTAGCCCACATATATAAATGTGGATAATAATAATAATAATAGCGCATTTATATCAGACCCAAGTAGCATATGTATTTAGGGGGGCCAGAGGGGGCCATGCATGTTGTCTGCCCCCCCCCCAGAACCGGCTCTGGTTCTCCATTCTTTGTCTAACTGTGTCAACTGTCTTATCCTCCACGTAAATAATTCTTCCTTGTGCGAAATTAGCACCATTACCCGATGATAATATATCGCTGTTTTATTTAAAGCGAAGGATAAATAGATAAGGAGGTTAAATTTAGGCAGGTGGCTCGGGAACGGAGGCAAGTTTTTCGGATTGTCCTGAAAGTCGGAGAGTGGCCTCGCATTGTTCTAGAAGCGACGGGGCGTCCCAGCAGGTGCCTGAAAACACGATCAGGACCCCCCCCTTGCACGGATCATTCCAGTAGTCCAAGAGTATTTTTTTTTTGGTTAGAGGATCTAACCGTATCTGCCAAGGTGGTTCCATTATTTATGAAGGACACAACACTTGGGGTGTAGACTTGCTGGTTATCAGCTAATCCCGACTTGATAGAGATGGTGATGGTTGGTTGGCTGGGTTTTTGTACTGTGACCCACTGGTGTGTTTCACCTTGCAGTTACCCAGTTACAGGGCCCACCCAAGCCGATTAGGTTAGATTAAATCAATATAGAATTTTTGCATATCAAAAATATGATTCTCACACCAGTTTCAGTCTTGAAATATACCCAAATTTTGCCATTTAGTCAAAGACAATTCCCTCTTCGATCTTCCTGAGCACTATGAAGTTAAATGTGAAGCGTAGGCTCTGGTCGTAATTTGCGGTCATCACCAACTAGAGTTAGAGTAGAATTAAAACCACTCCAAGACACTGAGCACGCTGTTTTGGAAGTTCTGTAACTAAATATGAATATGGTCTAATGCTGATTTTCAGGAATGTACAAAGTACACCTCCAGTGAAGTAGGAGGAAACATCTGGCCACCACTTCGTGTGAAGAAATTCTTTCCGACAGCAATTTTCCATCTGTGGTCCCACGTTCATGAATCAGTACTAACATTAAAGGAATCCTTGCGGTTGACCCTATCTATTACCCTCAGAAATTTCTATGCTTGGATCATGTCCATCCTCAGTTGCATCAAGACGAATAAAGAATTAGCAATTTCGACTTAGCCATTTCTCAAGCTCTCCCTTGACCTGCTCCAAAGCGGCAATATCAGCTGACCACAGTATCCTAGGTGCCAGCGGATTGCAAAACTTTAGAGTGACTTTTTTAATTTCATAGATACATTCAGTGCCTACAGTAGACATCTGTGTAAACAGGCAGATCTTTCTCAAAGGACGATGCTGTTATATCCTGCTGTTTTAAGGTTCCTGAAGACGGCATCTGAACTGGAAGGGGAGATTTTTAGGACTGATGCTGAAGATCTACCAAATCTGCTGATATTTAATTATAGGATTTTTGGGTAAAATTGAGTCCCTTGGCAGCCAGGGATATTTTGTTTTTATGCAACCAATTAATCGGAGTAATCTTTTTTGAAAGATTAGCTGTAATAACAGGAAATTTGAATAAGCAATTTGACTTAGAAAACTTAGGGTTGATAATTTCCCCCAATTTTCAACCGAGTGCAATGTTTGCAGAGCAATTAAATTTCAGTCCCGAGCTTGAGGGAGTCTCTGATTGAAATGTCCTGAGATCTTCCTTTATCTTGTGGTCGCAGATTGTAGTATCTGCTTTTGGTGCAGTTCAGCAGAGCTAGGAAATTAGTTTTCTCACTACGTGTCTGAGGAACATGGAAGATCCTGCCTGATAATGAAGAAAGACTTAATGGAGTGAGATAGCTGTGTACATTGAAAATTATCATTCTTATCAGCTGTGTACTGGTGACTGAGTTCGAGAAGTAGAGAAAGGGAGTCGATTGCCCTTTAATAACTTTATGACCAAACTAGGCTATGCCATTTTACTGCCAGGATGACAATATGACAATGTGTTTTATTAATAGCTAGAACTGGGTTATACCAGACTGGGGTTAATTCTGCTAGGGGTTCTCTGATTGGAAATCTGATTAATTGGAGTCTATGCATCAAAAGACGGAGGGATGCAGGCATATTTTATACGCATGGCTCTTGAAACTGACCTAGCAGTGGATGGGTTTAGACTAACAATTGGATAGCAAGGTGGTCGTCACAGTTCCATCCAAGACGGCGGATTATTTGGGATGATACTGAGCCACCTTAGCAGATGTTGAAATTAGTGGGCAATACAGCATGAAGAGAAGCTCCTGTACTGGGAATGGTTCCGGAACTTTGAGGTTCTTAAGGGAAGAGTCTACAATACAAAGACACTCCAGATGACCCATGTTATGGTACCAGGCATCTAACTGTGTGGTGGGAAACGTGACCAAAATATCCAACTCCTATGTTGCGTCGCTCATTTCTCGCTTTATGGGTATGTTTCTGTGTAAAATATACATTGATTTGCAAACTGCAGCCTGACTGTTCCCTGCTTCTCATTAATGAAGGGCTTCTTCCTTGCTTGATGGGTCTTCAGTCCTGCTTCTAGGAGCCTGTTATGAATTGTCCTACCTTTATGCTGGGTGTGCACTGTGCAGTAATGTAGCGTTATTTTATCAAACTGATATAGGTTGTATGAGCTAGATGAGGAATAGTGCTTATTAATAAAAAAAATAGCATTCCAGATCAGTGGAGTATATTTCGTCCAGATGATTCCTGAAGCTCACATACCTGGATTTTTGAATCAACCACCAAGTGGTTCACAAGCAAAAGATGATTCAGCAGACTGTGAGATGCTTTTAAACTGGGAAGCAAATCACGCTGTAAGTGTTCTGTCAGCTACTGTATCCTCAGAGAAATCCAATATCACATCAAACACTCTGAGATCTGCGCTTTAGGTCTACAGCAGAGTGCCGCTAGTGGACTAAGACTGTCATGTTGACCGCTAGGATTCATGCATACTTCACAATGGTGTCTTCATAGCTGCTGAATTAGAGCGATTGATTAGGCCAGCGTGTCTCAACCCGGTTTTCCTTGGACACAAACACGGCCAACATTTTCCCTCCCAAAAACATGGACTGACTAGGGTCCCCAAGGACCAGATTGAGAAATACTGGATTAGGGGACACTTGTTAATTTGTAGATTAGAATCATTTCATTGGCCAGATTTTTTCATGGTGGTATTGGTTCATACATGAAGATGTGCTGTGTGGCTGATTGTGTTAAGCCTTTGGATGGGAAGGTCGCCGGGTTGAGTTTCACCTGAATAATCGAATCCCTGTTGGGCCCTTGAGCAAGGCCCTTAACCACCCAAAATGCACCAGAGGCACCAGATAAGTGGCCTGACCCTTGTGCTCAGACACCAAGCTTCACTCTCAACTGTATATACAGCCGCTGAAAAATATTAAGAGACCACTCTATATTTTTAAACAAATCCACATTTTTAAATCATGGTTTAATTGCGGTTCCGCTGGAAGAAGGCTACGCTGAGCAGCAGGATGCTTCCAGGCAGCAGTACAGAAGCAGGAGACACTGGGAACGACCAGAAACCAGCCAGGAAAAGGGCAAAAGCGGCTATCTAAAGCCAGAGATGACCGTCATTCATACGGCAGTTTTTCATGAATCGTAGGATGACATCAGGTGACCTTCAAAAGGAATGGGAAACATTAAGTGCAGGTGTGAAGTGCACTGCTAGGACAGTTCGTATCAGGCTGATGGAAGCAGGATTGATGTCCCATAAAGCAAGGAAGAAGTCCTTCAGTAATGAGAATCAGAGAAGATGCACACCCATAAATTGAGAAACGAGTGAAACAAAAAATTGTGCTGTGGCCCAATAATTTTTGTACATGGCTGTGTGTGTGACCAAATGTCCCCCACAATGTAATAAAAACTTGTTTTTCTGACATTATGGGGACCATTTTCAGTTCCCTACAAAGATCTGTGCATGCAGTCAAAAAAGTAAAAATGTTTTGTTTTAGTTTAGTTACTTAAAGTCAAGGTTAAGGCTGGGTAGGGGTTAAGGTCGTCATGTTGGGATTAGAGTTTTCTCCATAGAAATGAATGGAGAGTCCCCACAAAGATATAATTACAAACCTCTGTGTGTGTGTGTGTGTGTGTGTGTGTGTGTGCGTGCGTGCGTGTGTGTCAAAGGAGAACAAGATGGGATGTGTGAAAAGAAGAATTCCAGTGTATTTGTGCAAATGGCAAAGGATCATTTCATTCAAAGAGCACAGAATATAAACTTTGAATTTAAGAAGAATTTAATTATTCTTTATGGATTATGGGTTATGGACCCATAATAACTTACAGAGAAGTGAATAAATTTTAAGAACATAATGAAGTTGGGTTTTAGGGCTGTACGTGGAAGGTTGTCATTATGGGATAGATGAAGTTCTACATGGTGGGCTAAGTAGCTTTTGAGTAGAGAGTAGTTGTACCTCTGAGATCCGCGGCCTAGGAGTAATAGAACCTGCTTCTCTGGTGACTTTATCTGTCGCTGTGGAAACTCAGCGCCGGCATAGTAACCCGGCCAAGAGGAGAAACTTTATACGGCTGCTGCTGCGGGAAACTGGGCCAGAGTTCACGGAGCACATCAAACAGCAGAGCGGGGCGGCCGAGGGCGGTGGGGGGAGAGTCAGCGACTTGGGATGACTCAGAGGTTTACAATAGCGGTGAAAGAGAAACTTCGTGGAGCAGCAGCCAAAGCGGGACGAGGGAAGGCTTTTAGGAGATTGCCTCGGCCCGGCTTCTGGCCGTCTACTGCGCGGCTGCGGGTCTCGAGTTCGACGTGAGCGCACGTCCAGATGACCGAGGGATCAGACGAGCAGACTTTGTCGGGTCTTCCTGCAGCCCGGCTAGGGAGTCAGAGAGCTGTCAGGCATCTCGGAGAGACATGTTTCGTGTCAGTTTACGCTGGCTGGTTTCTCAGAAAAGCAACATGAATTCCCCTACCAGGCAGGACAACGGAGTCCTGTGTCAGACAACACAACACCGCCACCTAGTGACAGCATTGGTTATTAGTCAGTGCGTGTTATATAAAAGTTATTTATAAGGAGTGTGTGATAGGCCAGGGGCTAAGCTCCAGAAGTGGCCAATCGCTTCTGATTGTTCTGAAAGAAAGATAAAATATGTTTCTACTTTAAACTCGAGGACCATTCAGATACATGTTCATGTAATCAATCATTGCTGGTCTTCATATACAGGAAACAAATGTTATACTGAAATGTAACCAATTGTGAAATAACTTCCAATTAAATAAACAATCCTGGTGTTTTCGTTCAGTTTTCCATGCAGATTGGTATGTAAGGTAATGGAGAATATCATGAACACCTTATGCTAAAGTGAACTGCTGCATGCGATTTAAGAAATAAATGGCGTTATTACAAGTTAGAGGACGTCTTATAATTCTGTCTGTTGCTTATGTCTTGCAGGGCGTCTGGGACTGTGTATACAGCCATCGATATTGCCACGGGTCAGGAGGTAAGTCTGTTTCCCTATGTAAATCACTGGCCGAAACATAGCAAGAGATGATTGCGCTCGACAACAGTAGCGAACGATCAATAAGCTAAGACTATATAAAGCTCTCACTGAAAGTCTGGGCACGTGAGCCTAATTCTGTAAAAATATTACAAATTTATTGGTTTCATAACAAAAGTCCATCGACAAGCAATGTTTAACATCTGCACATTAGGGATGGCACGGTTCATGAAAAAAAACCGAACCGTTCGGTTCGCTTGTCTCGGTTCGGAGTATGCAT